TGAAGCACAGATCATTGAATATGCAATTTAGGTACAGTAACATGTTCAAGAGATTGCTCTACAGAAGAGATTGGCAGTTTATTTACACGAGATTATGTTTGTTACAGTAAGAAACTGAAGCTTGAGGAAAAGTTGAAGACATAATAAACAGTGATCTCTTTTCATTGGTGTGGTTACTATAAGCTGGAATTATAGTCTCAGATAACTAGTGCTGCATGTCTTATTTCTTCTTCTTGCCCTTCTTTCCCTTCCCCTTTCCTTTCGCCTTTCCCTTCTTCTTGGCAAATGGTCCGAGACTTCTTTCGCAGATTCTCTCATCCTTTCTCACCATCAGTCCTCTCCACCATGCCTGCATCTGTGGGTGTGGGTACATTAGTTTACAGAGTGGTAAATCTTTCTAAAGACACCCTGAAATGAGGACACCTCTCTAAGAAGGACACATTTTCTTTTCCCAAGAACAGTTCTTGAACCTCACTAATGGGCACTCTTCTCTCCCATTGGTGTAGATTCTCTATTGCCATAATGGAGTTTCATGTACGTAGCTACCTTTACTGCAGCTTGTTTCTCTCTGATCTCCTGTTCTTCTCTCAGTCTCTCTCTCTCTTTCTCTGCCATGTGCTCCACCACCACCTTCTCCCACTCCCTGTACCCCTCCGTCTTCTCCTGCAGTTGACTCAGAACCTCAGCCTTGTTGTGCTGCAAGAAATGACTGACAATTCTACAGGTCGTGACTCCTTCGCTGCTCACCCTTCAGTCTTGTAGTTCTCTGGATTTCATCTCCGTGTCTTGTTCATACTTTGCCATCCAGTGGTCTAACTTCTCTCCCAAATCCTGTCAGAGAAAAGATAGAACCCACCTCAGATTAATAGAGAGTGTCATAGTCACACACATTGTAGTGTTGGTTGAGGTAGTCGAGAATGGCTTGACTAGCTTCCTTCTCTCCTCAACTTTTGTTCCAGCCCCTGGTTACTGCCCTCCAGTCCAGTGACACTGTTGTCCAGTCGATGTTGAACTATCTCCACTGTTGCCTTCACACAATCATCCACACACACACATGAACACACTGACACTGTGCAGCTATACCTGAGTGGACTTTTTGATGAACTTTTCCTCCAGACCAGTCTTGGCTTTGAGCTCCTGCAGTTGGTCCTTCAGATGTGCTATAGTCTCATTCAACTCCTGTCAGGGTACATTGTGTGCCCTATCCAAACATATCCACCAGGGACACGGGCCTACAGCTGTACTCACACTCAACTCCTTCTCTTTGCTTCTCTTTACCTCCACCAGTTGCTTCTTCAACTCACTAACCCTCTTACGACATCTCTCCTCTCTTAAAAGATAGTAAAACGTGTAAATTATAAGTCAGACCTTAGCGATAGAGCATATGTTTTGCATACAGTACTTTATGCTGGCTTTAGTTTCATTTGTTCTCGATGTAATATTTTGGAGCTAACGCGAGTATTTCAGTCTCCATGGACTCCTTGTTGTCCCAGTATTGTTGGAGTGCAGTTGAGAGACTGGAGAAGGTGCCCTCTCTCTGCCACCTCACCCGCCGTCTCTCTCACCACTCTCTCCAGATGGCCTCTGTCCTCCTGGAGCTTACTCATGTTCTCTGCCACACTCTTGGCACTCCTTGCCGCTAGGGAGACATCGTAAATACAAAGTCAGGGCAACTATATGGCTGACAGGGAAGGCCTACTGCATTGCCTTTGTAAGTGTGTCAAGTAGAAAATGGAACCCTATTCAACCTAAGCTTGGTGTGTTCACAATGAGAGTTCCATTGCAAAACCTTCAGCATCTACGCTACGTCGCCCAACAGCACTACTAACTTTCAGCTGCAGTAGTAATCCCCCTGGCAGTTTCCCTCAGAGCACCTGGTGACGAGACCTTACGGATCTGTCTATCCATTCTCTTCTGCTCCTCCAAGATTTGTAGTAGCTCGTCTCCCATTACCTGCAGAACGCACAGTTCGTACTTTACAAACGTCCAACACAGAACATTCAACTAGATCAGAGTATTGTATTGAGCTAGCAGTTGATAGGTTTGCAATTTTGGTAATCCATGTCTACATGAATACTAAACAGAATGGCCATTCAGGGGCTGTATGAGATCCTCTCTGTGTGAAGTAGCTAGCTACCGAACCTACGTGTTCAACGGCAGCAGCGGAACTGGCGTAATCTGGCATTATTCCCCCGAGCACTGCCAACTGATGCACCGCGTCGTCCAGAACCGCACACACTAGCTCTCTCTCCACTGGACTCAGGACCACTGGCCCACTGCTGCCCTGTCCCGCCAGCCGCAGAGAAGACTGAACTTTCGTAGCCATTTCGTCAGTGTGTTTTGGCCGTAATTTCCATGGTTACGAAACCACGCCTCTAAGGACCTCCCCGTTGCTGAATCAGCAAGACAAGACGGAGTTCGTGAGTACGTCTGCTTCTTGTTAGCGATCGTCTGGATGAAGGATGGCCAAACTGCGTCCAGTGACTCCGGAGCACCTCATCTCTGCAGAGCCGCTCCATGGAAGTCCACGTTCCACGGGCGGCGAGGGCTGGGAGCCTGACGGGCTCGGCTACGGGAAGCCACGAGCACTGACAGAGAACAGCTCGGGTCTCCCTCCGGCGGACGGGATCAGCGAGGCTGGCGAAGTGTTTCCGAGAGACGCTCACTCCAGTAGTCTCCGGACGGAGCCCGACATGGACACCATAATGCCGCTCCGCCACGGGACGAGTCAGATGGCTAATGTCGTCAGTCCCGCCAGCAGCGAAGAGGTACTCATCTGCAGAGAGCTAGAGTTCTAAAGTAGAATAGCATATGATACTACATAGACTTACGCTCTAATGCACTGTATAATGTAGGACTATTTAGAAGGTGTGGATGGAGTGAAAGCAGGGGGCAGTAGAGGGTACCTAAGACTCTCCAGCAACTTCACAACTGTAGAGGAACTATTAACATTCACAGATCCACCATGTGATTTTAAGCGTGTCTATTTGTCCAGCATCCTCTTTTGGATAGTGATTTCTTTGAAGGAGATATCACAGCCCAGGCTCTGGCTGTCTGCAAACGAAGAGTGACTCCACCCTTACTACATCTTCCTGAAACTTGTGAGCTGGAACATCTTTGAAACAATATTTTCTTTTGGATAATCGGTGTTGTGTAGTCCACTCAGAAGCTGTTGTTGTGTGTGCTAGTTGTCCATGTAAAGGGCCCGCCGGTGTTTGCACGGCAGTTTGTTCCCCCAGTAAGCAGAGTTGTGTCGATGAACAATGCACAAACCCTGCCAGCTTGCAAACACCCTCAGTGGTGATACACACTCCTCTGAAGACAGCTCACTACTAAACTGGACTCAACTAGAATGTTGATTTATTGTAAACAACTTTTTATTCAGAGACAGCGAATATCTCCACTTCTTGTATATAGCCCACTTTGTCTACTGCTGCTTTTCAATTTGCTCAGTGCAAAATGAAGATTTCTTAAAGAACTTCAGTTTGAAACATGTACATTTTGTCATTGTCCCCGGCACTGGTCTAATGGTCTGCAGGTGGGTTGGAGGAAGCTGAGGATCAGTCAGTACGACCTGGAGCCTCCTCTCTGGCAGAGGATCCTCAACACTGTGTGGCCGTCCCTCATCTGCCTCCTCCTCCTCACCTCATGTGCCACACAGATCATCACCTGCTTCCGCAGGGACCAGGTTCATATGTACCAGTCACCGTACCTCCAATAGCCACTCCCCTTCATTTCCTCTTCTGCTTTACACTCATTCTCCCTCTGGTTTTCTTCTCAAATTATAAAACCCCGCAGATGCTTACCAAACCCCAGAATGTCTCTTGTCTAATTTCTACCCTCTATCAATTCAGTCTTCCCCCTCTCTCAGGTACAGGTATTCCCCAAGAATGGCTCCGACGGAGTGATGCACTACCACGTCAGCTGTGAGAGACACATACTCACCTCCTTCCTCATCCCCGACCTCCTCCTATTCTCCGCCTTCATCTACGGCCTCTACATCTTCCGCTGGGGCCAGACCGAGCAACTCACCACTCTCACTGAAGCTGTACGTTTCCTTCAGTATGGCGGGAGACCTTCCCACCCCCCAACTTGCTCATTACACTGCAGTCTCCAACTATAGTAAATGGTGTTCAGGGTGTTTGGTTGGCCTGTCCTTCTCCCCACTTGGTTGCCAAAAGTTTTACCCCAAGCCCGACTAATCTAATAGTGACCCTAACGAACACATTCACAGTAATGGTTTCCTGAGGTGTTGAACTCTATTTAATGCACTCCCTCTCGCAGGTGTTCCTGGGAATCATGAGCAGAAGTAGCGGTCGCTACTGTCACAAGCGGCTGACTCGAACTCTGCAGCTGATGATGGTGATCGGAATAGCCTGGGTCGTCTTCTCCTTCGGTGTCAACGTCTTCAGAAGCCAGTCCCTCCATCTCCTGGACGCCAATACCCAGATACAGTGGATCCCCTCGTACCGCTCTGACACTAACAGGTGATCAATCTAAAACATCAGACATGTCCCTCACAATACAAACATTACCGCTCATGTCCTAAGAACAAACGGTTGTGTTCATAGTATACTAAATGGCTCCATTACAATGAACTAACATTAAGGACATGGGCATAAGCCAGTATTGATGCATAATGCATTGGGTATTGAGGGTGCAAAGGCCCCAAGGCATTGTATTGAATGTTCCAGTAGGTAAAGTAAGTGTTGTTCTCTCCCCCCCAGCTCCAACCTGATAGAGAGATGGGTGTTTGTGGTTGTGACTCTGCTGGGGTTTGTGGTTCTGGACATGGCGTACGCTGCAGTGGTCATCAACTACTCCACCCAGTGCCAGCTTCTCGTCTTCCTCTTCTCCTCCATCTGCGAGCGGATCAGAGCCAAAGACTGGGGCATCGAGCGAACCATCAAGGTAAGGAGACGTCCTTGGGGCAAGAGAGGTGATTATTTCTAGCCCAAATTCTACTACTGTATGTGTGGTATACAGGAGCTGAAGAGTGCTAGAGAATTTCTGAGCATGCTCAACAGCCACCTGTCGCGGGCCGTCTCACTCCTCCTCTTTATCTTTCTCACGACCTCTGTCCAGGGTAAGACTCTCTCTCTCTCTCTGCTCCCTGCTCCCTCTCAAACCCTCTCTTCTCCCTCTCCAGCAATATGGGGCCTACAGAGCGTCAAAAAGGAGCAAGAAAACTTTACTCTCGAGGTCACTACTGGACTCCTCTCCATAGTCCAATGGTCCTTCATGTTGGTGCTACCTCTCATCCAGGTCAGCCAGCAACCCCCCAGTTCTACGACTCAGAGCTAACACACGGTCTTCCCCCAGGCGTCGCGAGTGACTCGAGCAGCTGCTCGACTGAAGAAGGTGGGACTGGAGGTGCGGTCTCGGCCGTACAGCTACCTGGATACTCCACAACTCGACCTCGACTCCCTGGTTCTCTATACCACCAGCCTCAAAATGAGTGTGAGCAACTGTCATGCATTCACCAACAATACTGAGTCTCAATCTGTAATTATGCACAAGAACAAGCTCTCAAAGAATTTGGAATAGTGAAAATTGCAAAATTTTACTTGATACTATACGCTCTCTCCCCCTGGCAGGCTAAATTGGTCAACCTCCCGATCTCTCCCTCAGTGGTGGGTGTCCTCTTCTTCACAGTGGGGGTTGTTCTGTTCCTGGTGTTCCAGTTGGACACCTACCATTGGGCCGTCTGGCTCTAGTCCCATTCCCAGAACCCCATTCTCATTCCATCCATTTCTATTCCACGTCAGTTTTTTGTTTGTATGTCATTGATTTTTGTGAAAATCACTAGTTCAAATCATTCATGTTCTTTCTGTGGATTTTTATAAACACAAACTGTAGGAGGTGTGTTTTTAACGATAATGAATAATTATTGCGGGTTGGTTCTCTCAATTAGTGACTGGACGAGGTTGGAGAGGGCTGTGCTGGCAGAGGTGTCCCTGTGGGTCTCTGAGAAGTTGAGTCCCGTCTCCAGGCAGGCAGCCAGCCGCGGATCCAGGGGAACTCGACCTACAGAGAAATATTGCGAGAGTCTTAGAGCTCAGAGGATTGTAAATATTGAGAAAAAGGGTCATGGATTGACGTCCAACACTGCTCCCCCCCATAATGGAAACCCCCCACTTCCCCGTAATTAGCCTATGTTTTACATGCTTGTTCTATATATATATACCGAGAAAGGGTATGTTGGTCTCCTGTGCAAGAGATTCTCCACCTCCAGTAGAGAACAGATTACTGCACTCCTGGAGAACATGAACACTGCACTCACAGATGCTGTGGTCCGCACACTGAGCAACACTCACGGAGCAGTGCGGACAGACAAATCCGCTCATGTTTTCAACCAAGCCAAGGATGGGGAGCTTCGTCTTCCGGCAAAATGTTACTTCTCTTCTGACATCAGACAGAGCTACTGCCTGCAGAGAAAATTTTTTTAGAAAAAAACAGTGCACTGGCCGGGAATCAAACACATCTAGCTACGCTTGCAAAAACCTCGTATATACCTGTGGAGTAGATACAAGAACAGCTCCATCAGGGTTTGTAGTGCGGAGAGCCTCCAGTGTTGAGATGTGTTCGTCGCTGGTCCCTGGAGGCGTGTCCACCAAGAGGTAGTCCAAACTGCCCCACACCACGTCCGTCACAAATTGCTTTATCATGGCTGAAATGACAGGGACCCACCCCCCTTTGGATTAGCTACCGTAAATCGTGTGGTCTTACCGTTCTTTTTGGGTCCTCTCCAGATCACGGCGTCGTCTTCCTGAGCCAGGAGGAAGGCTATGGACATGACTGATAGTCTCTGATCATGGTCGGCAAACACCGGAATCCAGCTGTTGGAGAATGGGACAGAATGGTAGCTACCTCTAAGTATGAGACACCTTGGAGATTTGCTCACCCGCTGGAGCTCTGGTGAACATCTGCTCCGCTCAGTCCCAGCATACGAGGGATGCTGGGCCCACAGAGATCAACATCCAGAACCCCCACCTTCTTCCCTGCCTCCACCAACCCCAGAGCAAGCTGTGTCGTCACTGTGCTCTTGCCAACTCCACCCTTCCCAGAGAGTACTAGGATCACGTGATTTACTCCTGACAGCCCTCCTTCCTCCCCTAAGATGTGGACATTCATGTGTTGAAAAGAAAGGCACAGAATATTACGACTCACCTTCGGCAGCCATTTTCCTCCACTCATACGCATGCGCCGTATAAAGCTATTACGTAACTATACTACATTGCCATGGCGACGGAAACAAAAGCTACAAGCCATTTTACAAGCCTTTCTGCAGAAGCAGCAATGGACGTGCCGCCCCAGGATACTAGTAAACTAATAGTGCCGCAAACAACGAAAAGAAGGAAAAGTTCCGCCAATACTGCAGCGAAAGAAGCAATGACTACTTCCCCCGAGGCTGCAGAAAAGGGACCTGCGGCTGAAGCAAAGTCAACGTCAACGGAGAAGGAGACGAGAGAGATAGTCTCCGAGGCCAAAGTCATGTCAGACCTACTCGCGAGGCTGCAAGAGTCCCTCGCGCGTGCTGCAGACAAGAACGACAGCCTCCTGGAAGCAATCGAAGCCACTGAGGCTCGCGCTTCTCGCGAGGGCCAGCCAGAGAGCGAGGTGAGCGAAACTTTGACAATAATATATTATGTTTGAGGAAAGTTTCATTTGAAGCAGACCTCGCTGCTGAGAAATCTGAGGGCCAGGTTGGCAGCTTCTCACACTCCAAACTCCAACGCTAGAAGAGATCTGAGTTCTGTAGCAGGTGAGTTAGAGAAACTCAGTGTAGAGGAGGCAAGTGTCTGGTGCACTGGCGTGTTGTAGCTCATTTCGAGAAGCAGTGGCAAAAGGTTGAGGAGAGCCTGAGGCTGTGGGAAATGAAGCACAGACAGCTCCGCAAGGAACAGAACCAACTGCAAGAACACTACAATAAGTGAGCAAACGATACACTCACAGTGTGAATCAATGACCTGACGATTGACATGTTGTAGGTATGGTAGAAAGAGAAAGGCTTTTGAAGTGGAGAAATATTCATGGGAGCAAGAACTGAGCATGGCTAGGAAGGAGATCCTGGAGCAGGATGACAGACTCACTCTCCTGAGCCAGCAACTGGCAGGCACTAAGGCAAGCTGTATATTATATGCCATCACCAACGATTCTGATATACGTACCTCAATTATTAAACTCAGGAAGCACTGGAGGTGAAGACAAGTGAGCTAGCTTCGCAGAGAATTGCCTTTGAGGAGGAGAAGCTGGCACAGGAGACAGTGGGAGCCAAAGTACAGGACTCTGAGGCAGAGTTACTCAGACACAAACTAAAAGAGCAGGTCAGTTGTTTTTCACACACTTTGGTTGGAGAGATAATTTTTACTGGTGGTGAAGGTACTGAAGAATGTTGAGTTGGAGAGTTCCCTGCTGAGGGCTGAGCTGGGTCTCCAGCAGAGGGGAGAGGCTGCCAGAGCTCTGGAGACCAGACTACAGAGACTGGAGACAGAGCTGCAGCAGGCCCGACTGGCTTCTTCTAGAGCCGTTAAACAGTTTGAGAAGAGGACAATGGAAGGTGAGTTGTCATACTTCTATCAGTCTATGTTCTACAGAAGTTCAACTCTCTTTATTACAGCCAATAAGAAGTTGAGTGACATGACAGCAGAACTCTCCAAGGCCCAGGAGCATGCGAGACGATTTCAAGAACTCCTCACAGCCGAGAGAAGAAAGCAGAAGAGCTTACAGGTATGTATAAACGCATAAGAAAACTTGCAGCTTCACAACCTAGTGTATGCTAATGGTCTCACAGCATGCTCTGGAGCAAGAGATGGGGAAGACCAAAGGTGGACAGGGGGCGGCAGGACTCAGTGTGGCGGCACAGCGCGCGTACGTTGATACCCTCACAGAGACTCTGAGTCCCCAGAGCAAGAACCACGGACCAACACGACTTGAGGATGTTATCAGGAAAAATGAGGTCAGCTAAACTAGAGTGCAGTAACCTTCACAAAACTACAGAGATGGCTGAGTTGTTGTGGCTAAGAAGGTGGTGGTGTTCTAATAAAGGGCCACCCTAGAATACATGTACAAGTCTCCACTCAAAACAATTTCACACTCAATGTTTTTGAGGAATGTTTGAACATGATTGACGAAGTGGTGGTCCTGCAGGTGGTAATGATAGAGAACAGGGGACTGCGGGCTGAGGTGAGGAGACTCCATATGGAAAACTCTCATCTCCTGCACAGAGTCCGGTTCTCAGACAGTAATGCTCACTACATGAGGAACCAGGTACATTGGAATAGAGATTTCGTAGATCTGTGGGTGCAGTTCAGTTTCTGTAGGTGGTATCTAATGTGGCAGATAGGGCTGAGCTGCTGCAACGGCTAGAGAAAGCCGAGACACAGGTTTATATATATATATACAGTGGAACCCCTTAATCTGGTAGCAATAAGACAGTAGAAAGAGTCCTTATTAGTGAGGTGTTCTTATTTCAGGTGCATGCAAAATTTGTTCAAAATGAGCAGAGTTAACATTTCACGGGTTTTGTTTTACCATTTCCTTGATATGTAGCTACCTGTTTGTGTCTATGTAGTACAAGGAGCTGGAGAGTAGTTTGACTCGGCAGGCAGCCGAGTGGGTGAATAAGAGGAAAAGCGAGAAAAATGGCAGAGAAGACCATAAGATGGGCACAGGTTTGGTTCGCTACTCCCATGCAAAGATGACGATGACTTGTTTCCAGGTGGAGCCAATTCCAGTGCTAGGTGCCAGTGAGAGAACTTGGAATGTGACTAGCAAGTCGCCTACACAAGGACGTTGCATACCAGTTCACAAGTGGTAGTTGTTATGTATGATTATGTAAGATGTGGGTGCAATGCGCATGCGTAAACGCGTGTGTGGGCTTACGCGCTCGGGCGCCGGGTTACACGCGCGAGCAATGTGGAGAAAAGACGGAGGTAGAGCCGTTTCCTTCATATTCCCCGGCAGTTCCAAGCTGGAACGCTCAGAGAGCTTCGGTTCGTATATCGTTGCCGAGAACAAAGAAAGATCGTGGACGATGGCGGAGGCCGTGGACCAAGTACTGTCGGCGAGACGTCGGACGTTTACTCGCTGGGTCAACTCGCAGTTCAAGAACACCAAACTGCGTGTGGAGGACTTGGAGAAGGACCTGGCCAGCGGTGTGGTGCTGGTGCGACTACTGCAGACTTATTCCCCGCACGAGAAAGCATTGGGAAAGTACGTTAGCTAACTAGCTAGCTGGCCAAAAGTTGCATGTCTTTTATGAAACGAAAATCGTCTGCGATTTTAGATACGTGAAGAAGCCGAGCAAACAAGCCCAGAAACTGCAGAATATTAGGCTGGCTTTCAGTCACCTGCAGTCCAACGGTGTCTCTCTACTGGGGATTGGTAAGATTATCATTATCATGCAGTCACAGGACCGAATTCCATTAGCTATCAATATGACTGGGCTGTGGGATTAACGGTTGTGTTCTGTTGGTGTGCATGTCTCAGAATAGGGAATCTGTGTGCATTCTGCAGAAATGTAATGAGATATCAATAGCTGAAAGTCTGACAAACGTCTGTTCCTTGAATTTAGCAACTGCAACATTAGACCTATTTCGAGTGAATGTATATATTATAATGTATAGTGAAATACACATGCGGTTAATAAGAAATTTGGCACAGCAAACAAACTTGGTAATAACAGCGCTTATGCTTGTGTTCTTTTGGGCTTCTTCGGTAAGTTACCGGAATTTATGCACTTAATTAGCATTTGTAAGTGCTTCATCTGAACCATGGAGTGTAAACATTTCCCGTGTACCGTGTCACACTATACAGATCCCAACGATATTGAGCAAGGGGATTTGGATCAGGTTCTGGCGCTCCTGTGGGCTATCATTTGCCACTACCATCTAAGACAGGTATGTGAGGGAAATGCTTTGGTATCACTGAAATTCGATAAACTGTCTCCCACTAGAATTGAGAAATTAGTTTGTACACTCGTGGGAATAATTCATTCTCATTCTCTGGTTCTACTTTCTTGTGTTTGCGATTACAGGGAGATAACGATGGGGAGCGACCCCTGCTTGAGTGGCTTCGCTCTGCAGTTCAGGATCCTGAAATCCCGGATCTCGCCTCTTCATGGAACAACGGAGTCAACCTGTCGGCTCTGGTAGACTACTGTCAGCCGGGCCTGATTCCAGACCACGCCTCCCTGGACCCGGAACGGAGACTGGAGAACATGCGGCGAGCCATGGAGCTGGCAGAGGAGCACCTCCAGATCCCTCAACTGATGCACCCCGAGGACCTGGCCGTGGACAAGCCTGACAAGCTGTCCACCATGACCTACCTCTCCCAGTTCTGCTGCCCCAACTCTGTGGGCGAGAGGACTCTCCTCCAATTTGTCCGAAAGAAGCTCCCCAAACAGAACATCACCAATTTCACCACCGACTTGGTTGACGGGAGGGTCCTGGGAGCTCTCACAGCCACAGTGTGTGTGTTTGATCCACAGACAACTCAGCCGAACCCAACCGAGCGCTGCAGCCATGCTATGACAGCAGCTCAAGTTCATCTCTTTGCCAGAAAAATCCTCGAGACGTCCGAGTTTATCAACCCTGAGCTCGATCCTCGACTGAGGATGGCGTACCTTACAGAGCTACAGCAAGCCTCTGCACCCCCACGTATACTTGATACACACATTCCCGAGTTTAGCGGTCCCGAGCAAGAGATTGTAGTTGACCTAGAGGTGCCAGAGCATGGTAAAATCGAAGCCTCGGCAAAGGGAGCTCTCACTGGGTTAGCTGGCGTTAAAGTTGAATCTGTTGGGGGCGGGCGCTCGCTTGTCAAGATTTCTACCGTGGCTAGGGATCAGTACACAGTCACTATTACTCATTCAGGCCGAGTTATCCGGGGGTGCCCCTTCGTTGTTAGCCTTGATTCATACTCGGTTCCTCACACTGAGACAAATATGCCAAATATGATCGGAGATGCTTGCAGGCTGACATTTGACACCTCACAAGTTGACGGGAAGCCACTGGAAGTGACAGTATCAGGGAAAGCATCGGGCGAGGTTGTGCACACGTTGCAAGATTCAGCTCCTGGGCTCAGCATCATTTCCTTTGTCCCTCAATGCCTCGACACTTACACTGTCACGCTGGCTGTGGGGGGGAAGGCAGTCAAGGAATCTCCGTTTGTCGTTCCCATTCTGCACATGGCTGAACCAGACAAGGTTGTGTGCGGAGGGATAGCATCAGCTGGTGTAGACAGTCCCGTCAGTTTGACTGTTGATTGTAGTAAAGCAGGAAAGGGAGTCCTTACTGCAAGCTGTATTTGCCAACAGAGCAGGGATGTCCCTGTTAATATCAACACCACCAGCGACACTTCGAGTACAGTGTCTTTCACTCCGGGCTCTGCCGATCTTTACCTGTTGCAGGTGATGTATGAAGGAATGCATATCCCTGGGTCTCCTTGGTGCATCGACTTCCGCAACCTCCCCCCTATGCCCGGGAAAGTGAAGGTGGACGATAAACCAACAGGCAAATTTCATGTCGGTGAACTCCTGGCAGTTGAATTCGACGCAGTCAACGCAGGGTCGGGCCAGTTAACGGCAACATGCAGTGGCGCAGCTTGTGGGGATGTCCCTGTCTCAATTGTGACAACGGGCTTGGGAATATTCAGAGTGGGGTTCGTGCCAATGGTCCCCGACAACTACTTTGTTACAGTCGGTTGGGCTGGTACCCCGCTACACGGCTCCCCTTTTCAAATCAGCTTAGGTTGCCAGCCAGTCAACTCCTCCAAGTGCAGGATAGTGGGTCTCGTGGGTAATCCAGCTCTTGTCAAGATGAAAACCGGCTACCATGCTCTCACCGGGCACCAGATGGTCCTCCAGGTGAAGACAGATGGAGCCGGGGAAGCTAAACTGGAAGCGAAACTCCGAACACCTTCGAAAGAGATCTCTCTCATCTCGAAACCAAGTCCCGATGATCCCAAAACTCACATCATCAGCTACACTCCGATCTATAACAGCCACCACTGCATGCAGCTGCTGTGGGGGGGCAGTCCTATTCCAGGCTCTCCAATCAAATTCAGCACAGTTTCTCCACTAGTCTTCCCCGTCGGAGGCCCCATATCTGTTGAATTGGAGCTGGACGGTAAGAAGAAAGACTTGAATGGAGAAGCTGTGCTCCAGAAAGAGGGACTCCCAGAGAAAACAAGGGCCACTGTGGAGAGTGCGACCAACAAGAAGGTGGTCTTGTCGCTGGAGTCGAGCGAGATGGAGCCAGGAACTTACGTATTGTCAGTCTATTCAAAGTACAAGGAGCTGCCCGGAAGTCCTCTAGTCCTAGTGTATGGGAGCAAAGAAACAGACCCCGGAAGAAGGAAGGCGATACCGTTGCTGTGTCCGATACAGACGGGGCCTCCAACCCAGCAGAGCAGAGTGAGCCGATCTCCAGTGTTTCAATCGTTCAGGAGAGGGTAATGGAAGAGGCCAAAATCGCAGTAGTCATCGATAGCGCTGCACTGGAATCATCTCCTCCTCCTCCGAGTGAATCGTCTGAAGGGAAAGAGCCTGAAATATCACTGACTGCCTTGGAGGTTTCCCCAACTTCTCGTGAGCGGAGCTACACAACCGACATCCCTAAAGACAACGCCGCGGTGAACGTCAACCAGAGAAGCAGCTCAGTTGGCAAGAGACCAGAATTCCCCAAGACAACCACTCCCATTGGGACTCAAACTACATTTGTCATGCCTGAGCACGGGAAGACATCTCCAGTTGAGCAAAATCATCCGCACAGCAATTTGGAGCTAGTCCCAGATTTAGCTGAACCTGGAGCTGCTTCTCTCCCACAGAAATCAGCTACCCTCCCTCCCCTTCAGGAGCACAGCAGAGAAACAGTTGAAGAACCAGAAAGAAGACTCAGTGACTTGGGCACCCACTCGCCAGAAAGTTGAAGGGTCTGAGGCAAATGAGGACGGGGAGAAGGGGAGAAAGGACAAGAAGGTGAAAGAGGAGAAAACTACCAAAGTCAAGAAGGAGAAAGATAAACCAGAAAAGGCCAAGAAAGATAAGAAGGAGAAAAAGGAGAAAAAGAAGCAAGAGGGAGGGCTCAATCTGGAAGACCAGGATTTCAGAGTCGGGATAAAGATGAAGTACAAACTTCACTGCGAAGCTCTGGGCTCGAAGCCTCCAGCCGTCAGCTGTAGACCTCCAGACGCAGTAAAGGCCGCCATTATTCCAGCTCAAGAGTTTGGCAAAAACACCTACTGGTGTGAACTGACCCCGACAAAGGCCGGAGAGCTGCAAGTGTCTATCATCTACGAAAACTTTCACATTCTGGGCAGCCCGTCTCTGTCTTGGTTGGCGCTCGAGGCGATGCCCCACAGTGCACCATGGTGGAGACATCTTCCACGTGCAGACAACAGCTGGAGAACTCTCTTCTCTTTTGTATCGATGTCCCGCAAACTGCAGGGAAAGGGAAGCTAACTGCATCCGTGAAAAGTGCTACAACCAGCAAACGGCTCAGTGGTGTTCGCACACTGGGAGTCACTGATCAACACTACCACGTCGAATTTGTTCCCAGCGAGGGGCTGGAGTACATTCTGAGTGTGAAGTATGACGAACGCCACATTAAGGGGTCACCCTTTGTCATCAATTTGGGGGACCCGGCAAAGTGCAAAGTTCACGGAGAGGGAATCAAAATGGCACAAATCAACGAAGAGAACACGTTTGAAATCGACGGATCAGAGGCGGGGCCTGGAGAATTGTCGGTGACAGTTCAGAGAGAAGGAAAGCCGGTTGAAACCAAGACGACTGTGATCGGTGACAACCAATACCGAATCAGCTACACTGCTCATAAGATGGGGGTGTACCATGTCTCTGTGAAATGGGGCGACGGACATGTTCAACACAGTCCGTTTGACGTGCCCTGCATCTCGCCCTCCCAGTTCCACATACCTGAGGGAAGCCTCCACAGAGTTTATGCCGGAGCTGCCTCCAGCTTCCAGGTCGTCGCACAAGCCACGCACGTCCGCCAGAAACAGCTGTCCATATTTGCTCACCCCAAGAGCGACATTACCAAGATGTTTTCCGGGGAGATTGTCCAAGCGAGCGAAGGTGTTTTCACGTGTTCTCTTCGACCGACAGAGGACCACGTGGGACTCTGCAACATGCACATCTGCTGGAACGGGAAAGATATTCATGGAAGTCCGTACGAAATTGACGTTGTGAATTCTCCCCACCCGAGTGAGTTTAGTCTGGAGGCTGTGGAGACAGAGTCTGGCGACATTGCCGTTGATGTTAGTGGTCCAGTTGATGTGTTTGCCACGGAGAGTGTGGATGCTAAGGCAGAGAACATATTCACAGGGGAACAAGTCGCTGTGAGGGTCACAAAAGTAAGCAACGAGAGGATTCGAATTCAGCTCCTACCAACAGCTGGCGGGGAGTACCAACTGAGCATATTGTACGCAGGGAACCACATTGCCAGTTCTCCGTTTGTTCTCACACAAGCAGACCCCTCTCAGTGCCAGATTCTGGGAGAAGGGATCAGAGTTTCCAGAGTCAACGAACTGACAAAGTTCAAAGTGGACCACAGCAAGGCAGGGCTGGGTCACCTGAAGATAGAGATCGAGGGAGAGGGAGGGAAAACCATCGAGCCGTTTATTGCGTCGGGGGAGGCCCTCTCAGAAGTGAGCTACATATCCAGAGAACTGGGGGTCTACAGAATTTTGGCCTCCTGGGGGGAGCACCGGTTCCCCGACAGCCCCTTTATAATGTACACTGTGGACCCCTCCAAGTTCAGTATCAAGAGCTCAATGCCAAAGCAATTTCCCGTCAACCGATCTCTAAAGTTTACAGTCGCTGCAGGAGCCCCTGTGGCAGAGTGGGAGCGGCTCTCTGTCACCGCAAAGCTGATTCACAAGCAGCAGATTTACAGAGGGAAAGTGGAGGCTGAGAAAAATCGCGGAGAGCAGAATTTTCACTGCGGTGTAGAGATACCTCAGGAAGGGTATTATGCCGTCTATGTCCAGTGTAGGGGGTTGGACATCCAAGGAAGCCCGTTCAAGATTAGGATGATGCCAGCTCCGAGGCCGGAGAAGGTTGTCGTGTCAGGGCCGGGTCTGAAGGGAGGGCTGGTGGGAGAGAAACAGACGTTTAGTATTGACGCCCGAGAGGCAGGGTATGGCAACATTCAACTGAAGGTGCAGGGAGAAAAGGGTGGTTTGTCCATCGACATGCATCGCCACGAGTCATCAAAACATATCATCATTGCGGAGTATACTCCAGAGTACCCCGGGAAGTACACCATTCATGTTTTTTGGGCGGGGCTTGCCGTCGCCGACAGCCCTTATTCCGTGTCAGTCCGCAACTCCAAGAATGGAGAAGGCCCAAAAAACAAAGCCAGTGATTCGTGGGTGAGCAGTAAACACTATCATTTGCAGTACTAACGGTAGAAGGACCATCATGCATTGTTGTTTGCTACAAACAAATCGTAAGCATTTGGGTTTCCTAGTTCCTGGTACCGTGGCCCATTAGATGATCATTGGTTCTTGTTACGCTGGCCACGCAGTGCATGTAGTCATTTCCCGAGGGACTGTGTGTAGGGAGGGAATCACTCCGTGACTGCGTGAGACGTGAAACATGAGATCTTCAGAGGAATAGTTTGTGTGTGTGTGCATTTGTGTGGCTAGACGTATCCATAGATCAAGTATTGTGGTTAACTACACATCATAGAGAGCCCTGTATGATATATACACACACAGAACAGATTGTGTGACAGTCTGCTCTATCTCTCACTGCAGTCTATACAGACACCGTCAAGTCAGCTCATTGAACCTGTCCACTGATGGAAACACTTATATATCATCTAGATTTTTATTCCATCATGTATGCATGCTGAAAGCTACAGTATAATATATAACACGAAGCTGGATTTGTGCGCAGGCGCAATAGTACTTAACCCAGGCGTACGCATGCGCACACAATTACGGATATTCGTTTTCCACAGTCCGTAATCCGGGTTGCTGGATCCGTAAAATCTCAAAACTCGGCACCTGCCGTCTTGATCTATCTCTCCCCTCCCTCTCTCCCTCCCTGGTGAAGGATTGGGCCTCTAGCTCGTGTCAGTCAATCGCTCTGGGGAAGACAAGGCGACGTTTCAGTCACACGGATTCGGCACTCCGGAAGACAACAGCGGCCGTGCGTTCGTGAGAGGATCTCTCACACGCCTGGGTTCACTGACGTCGATCGGACCGGCAAACGCAGTGACTAGGGTGCCCGGACTACTGGACTAACGTCACTATGGCCCATCTACGGCCGATAGACAAGGAGTTCGAAGAGGCGGACGATACGGGGGTCCTCGTCCTCAGCTCCCGGAACCTCAGGAACTTTCCCGTCGTCCCTGGAGACCTCTGCGACTTCAACGACCTCCTAGAAGCAGGTAAGACACGTAGCAACCACAACAAAAGGGCTTACCCGCCTCGACTCTCTGTAGCAATGACATATGTACATGGTGTAAGGACCTGGTGGGTGGTTGACTTTTGGTATCCTCCATTTTGTTCTCTGTCTTCTAGACTTCACCAACAACAGATACGACCACATCCCCCAAGAGGTCTGTGACTTCATGCAGCTCGTGAAGCTGAGTTTCTATAGGAACCTCCTGCGATCCGTGCCCGAGGACTTGAGGCACCTCGAAAATCTCAAAGACCTAAACCTTAGGTACAACACTACTACATGTACATACACATCTTTGATGGGGGAGAAGGAAAGAGGAAGGATGGTAGTTTACTCACGTTAGAAGGAGGGTAGTTTTGCTACATGATAGGGTTTAGCAATAGTGTGTGTGTCTGTGTACAAGAGTGGTTGTGGTAGAGCCTGGTATCCAACATGCCAGAGAGAGTGTCTCAGAGAGAGAGAGAAGGTAGGGAGGGCTTCCTGTGTGGAGAGTAGGGCTTCGACAGAGGAAATCAACACCGACTCTGTGTGTATTATAACATCCATGATGTAATCCTTACAATTTCATTACATTCTACCTCTCTCCCTCACACACATGCACCCTCTCCGTCTTCTCTTGCTGCAGTCGAAATCTGCTCCCCACCATTCCTGTAGGACTGTGCCATATGAACCTTCATTCCCTCAACCTCAGCAACAACAGACTCGTCTCACTCCCTCTACCGGTACAATGAATCACTCTCTTTGCTCCTCCATCTTCTCTTTCTCTCGTTCTCCCTGAAATGGGGACGCCTTTTACTCCCCAAGTCTGGCATGCGATTTAACCCCTGAAATTAGGACACCTCACTAATATGGACTCTGTGGTCTGTCCCATTAGAGGGGTCCCACTGTACTTATGTATCCCATACTTGTTCAGTACGATTCTCGCCCTCTATTGTTAGTTGGGAAATCTGAAGCAGCTGCGTTACCTCAACCTCAGCTGTAACCATCTCCCTGATCTCCCAATTTCCATCATCGATCTGTCGTCTCTACAACATCTTGACCTCCATCGCAACCAGTTGAGAGAGCTACCAGCAGGTGTGTCTCCTCTCTCTCTTTCCTTTCTTCTCTCTCATTCCCTCCCTCTCAACTAGGCCAAGGGAACATACAATTCCATGTGTTAGCCCACCTGAAATCGACCATGTACACATGTGTAACGCACCACTGCCTTTGTTTAGACGCACATTACCTCCCCCCTTCCCTCCCTCCACAGTGTCCTGGTTAAAGTCAACATTACCTCCCCCCTTCCCTCCCTCCACAGTGTCCTGGTTAAAGTCAACATTACCTCCCCCCTTCCCTCCCTCCACAGTGTCCTGGTTAAAGTCAACATTACCTCCCCCCTTCCCTCCCTCCACAGTGTCCTATAGTTCATGGTTAAAGTCAACATTACCTCCCCCCTTCCCTCCCTCCACAGTGTCCTATAGTTCATGGTTAAAGTCAACATTACCTCCCCCCTTCCCTCCCTCCACAGAGATTACTGCCTAGTGTCCTATAGTTCATGGTTAAAGTCAACATTACCCTTTCCCAGAGATTTCATCGTTAAAGTCAACACCGGTCCCTTTCCCTCCAGATATCCAGCTGCTAGCTCTGCGCTACCTGGACATCTCCTGTAACCAGATCACGGCTCTCCCCACCACACTGAGACACATCACTGACTCACTCCAGATATTCAAGATGACTGATAACCCTATTGAATCTCCACCCACACACGTACGCATGCAGTATATTCTACTGTTTCATAAGTTGGACTGGGGTGATTGAGGAGTAGATGTGTGTACACCATGTGGTATTGCTGAGCCCATTCATTGGACCTGTGTAGACAGGACTATAGACTCAATGCCCTCAAAGACCTGCTACTTACATATGTCGGGTATCAAAGATGACCAACCCTCTCTCTTCTCCTTCTTTCCTATTTCCACTCCTCTCTCCTCTCCCCCCTTTCTTTACCTCTCTCCTCTCTCTGACTGGTGACAGGTGTGCGTGCGAGGTCTGATGCACATAGTCAAGTGGATGGAGGGACTGGAGAAACACGGCAGCGATCCCCACCTCCTCTCCATCTCGAGAGATGCCAGCCTCGCTCGCCGCAAGGGAAAGAGACACTCCACCTCCTCACGGTCGTTCATCGACAACTCCCAGCCGGCCGGAGAAAATGGGTGTGCTTGTCTACTGAACCTCTTTCTATTCCCCATCTCTTGTTTTTTGATTCTGTTTTCAATTAGATGTTTTAAGAGACCTGGTAATATAACCATAGAACTATACCACTTCAACTCTATATTTTTGTGTGAATTTGCAAATTTACATCCAATTTTACTCTCTCCTGCCACACCCTCTAATGTACAGTGTTCTGAATCTTGACGAGGTGACCAATCGGATCAATTCCTCTCTGAGGGTCGTCGAGTCTCCATCTCTGCTGGCCAAAAATGACGTAAGTCATCACTACAATGGTGCTCCTCTCTCTCTCTCTCTCTTTAAAGAAACCTTGTTCTTTTCTCCCAAGAACAAGTAATGTAACCCTTCAAACATGGACGCCTCAACTACTATTCCATTGTTGTCTGAATCAGAAGGGTGCCACTCAGTACACTGTACCTCTCCCCTCCTCCCTGCCTATATCTCTTTCTAGGGAGAGATTACTCCAACCCACACCTCTACTCCTATGCATTGGAGCGTGACCCAATATCACAATACCGTAAGTCCCCACATTTTTATTACTCATAGCTCCGTTATTACCCCACACTCCTCCCTCTTCCCTCTTCTCTTCTTCTGTTTTGTGAACTTGCATATCACACCCAATAAACGTGTTGCCACTGGAATACACAAGCTCTGCATCTTCCTCTCTCCCTCTAGCCTGGGTCGGCCATGTCTGATCAAAGCAAGGAAGAGTATAGGGAGGCGGCCCACAAGCTCTACATGCAGCAGGAGAGGCAGAAGAACCGCATCAACCGCAGGAAACGATCCTCCTCACCCATTCAGGCTACCGCCAAGGTATGTACCTACATTATGTACCCACCCACTAATTAACTAACTGAGTTACGTTGGTCTTCACTAGCAATGCACAGCCCTCTTCAGTACATGGTCTTCACTAGCAATGCACAGCCCTCTTCAGTACATGGTCTTCACTAGCATGCACAGCCCTCTTCAGTACATGGTCTTTACACTAGCACTGCCGCACGCCCTCTCAGTACATGGGGCTTCACTAGTCAATGCACAGCCCTCTTCAGTACACATGGTCTCACTAGCTAATGCACCGAGCGCTTCAGTACACTGTCGTCACTAGCATGCACAGCCCTCTTCAGTACAACACGACGTCTTCACTAGCAATGCACGAGCCCTCTCGTACATGTCTTCACTAGCAATGCCACAGCCCTCTTCAGTACATGGTCTTCACTAGCAATGCACAGCCCTCTTCAGTACATGGTCTTCACTAGCAATGCACAGCCCTCTTCAGTACATGGTCTTCACTAGCAATGCACAGCCCTCTTCAGTACATGGTCTTCACTAGCAATGCACAGCCCTCTCAGTACATGGTCTTCACTAGCAATGCACAGCCCTCTCAGTACATGGTCTTCACTTAGCAATGCACAGCCCTCTTCAGTACATGGTCTTCACTAGCAATGCACAGCCCTCTTCAGTACATGGTCTTCACTAGCAATGCACAGCCCTCTTCAGTACATGGTCTTCACTAGCAATGCACAGCCCTCTTCAGTACATGGTCTTCACTAGCAATGCACAGCCCTCTTCAGTACATGGTCTTCACTAGCAATGCACAGCCCTCTTCAGTACATGGTCTTCACTAGCAATGCACAGCCCTCTTCAGTACATGGTCTTCACTAGCAATGCACAGCCCTCTTCAGTACATGGTCTTCACTAGCAATGCACAGCCTCTTCAGTACATGGTCTTCACTAGCAATGCACAGCCCTCTTCAGTACACGGTCTTCACTAGCAATGCACAGCCCTCTTCTAGACATGGTCAGCTTTTTGTATGACAGACACTATGGTGAAAAAATTTTGATGCGAACAAAATTTGAAGTGACTGTTTTTGTGTGGTCAAAATTTCAGTCATACTATAGTGTTTATATCTTTCCTATCTTACAGGCTGCGGTGACCCTCTCCAAACAGCAGTCAGGGAGTACGGAGCTCAGCTCCATCCCGATGCAGCGGGGCTCCAAGGAAGACATCCTCGCTGCCGCTGGGTCCCCAACAGGGGGCACGAAATCCCTGGGGGGCAGTCCACGAGTGGCCCCCGCGAGGTCGCTCGCTGGGGAGAAGAACCCGCGGCCGGGATCATGGAACTCTCACACTAAGGTCTCCTCCAGCCCGATCCTTCCCAGCAAGTATGCCATGCCGGCCTCTGAGAAACAGACGTGAGGAGAGTAGTTTCATTCACAATATCTACATCGCCAAGTTGTTGTGTTCTCTGCTAACTCTGTGTGTGTGTTTGTTCTCAGGAGTGAGGATGAAGCCAGCAGTAAAGGTGGCGTCAGAGTGTCTGAAGTCGAGGTAAAGAAGAAGCCTCCTCCTCCTCCTCCTCCTCAGAACAAGCCAGACTCTGGCATGGTGAGTCTCAGTCATGTCTTCCTACGATGTATACAGTCATCATCATGCTGTGTATGATGTTGATTGTGGTGTAGGTACAACGTCGTCATGAAAGTTCTGAAGAAGCTAAAACCAGAGCAGCACTTGAGGAGACACATAGAAAACCAGTACGCCAACTTTACCTCTCTTCACTGCAGCATAGTACATTTCTTCCCACCCCCACCTGTCCTCTGACTCTTCTCTTCTGACTACTATCTTCTTTCTCCCCCCTCCCCTCTCTACTCTGTCCCTCCCCAGCCCCCGCAGGAGACAGTAGGAGCCACGCCCACCTCGTCGTTGTCCCGGGAGACCACTCAACAACAGCAGCACCGTAAGGTCCAGCTGTATTTCCCTCAGCCAGGGGCCCACGAGTCTGAAGTGTAGACTCCGCCCCCTTACCTCCTCCCACCAGAGTCACCATGTGTTTGTCTCTTGTGGTTCTGTTTGGTCTGTTTTGGTCTGTTTTGGTCGTCGTTTGTTAGTTCGTAGTGGTTTTCGTGGCCCCTGATGATATCACTGCTGATTTGCCTACTTTTCCGACTCTGAGCTTTTCACTCTAATTGATGCTCACCCTTCTATTTAATGCACCTTCCAAATAGCCTGTCATCTCTATTTAATGCCCTCCTTATACTAGCCTAGCTGTGTATATACCACTTGTATCATAATCTATACAAGCCGCAGTAGTGTATGTGTGTAAAGATAGGAATCAAAACATGTTTTAATATTTAGTGTATCACTAGTTATGTAATATTATGTATCACAAAGTGTGTGTTTAACACGCAATGTTTATGCTGAGTTTGAAAGTTTTTAGTCGTAGTTTTGTCATCTAAACTGTCCAGTAATAACATGAAGCAGACATTCAGTTTGTGTTTTGTAACAATTTCATGACCGAATTAGCTTGCAGCCAGCTCCCTTTGTCGTGCTGCTTAGCCAGCAAAAAGGTCGCCAAATGACGAGTTATGAAAGTAATCAGGTACCATTAGGCAATTAGGTGCAGGAATGCTATTGTGGTTTGTTTGAGTGTTTAACCCTATTCACACTGAATTTTGTCACATGATACTCACATGTGCTGAGCATGCACAAAGGTGTATTGCTGGCGTGCAACCTACATTCCACAGCCACACTCCCTCTGTCTTGTGTATCTCTACTGTCTTTGTATTATACCTTATGTGTGTGTGTGTGTTATTCCAATGCATCGCTCTGCACACTCTTGCAAAAGATGAATTGATTTTCAAACAGCTGAAAGAAGGCGTTAGCAATTGTAGTAAGCCATCTTTCTGAGCCAACAGCTGATGCCGAAAATGAAAATCTCTCGGAATTTCTCTTTTCCCCGTTAGCGCGTGTGCGATAATCTGAGGCTATTTGTGTAGTGGGATGCATTGGAATGATAACTATGTCTTGTCATAATCTGTCGGCGTTTGAGGCGTAAGAGTGGCACTAACTGGGAAAAACATGTCGAGAGATTATGCGCCCTTTTGTTTTCTGTGGGCGTGTTTCCATGGCAACCGGTATGTTGAATTTTTTGCTGTTTCCATGGAAACACCGCTCAGGTGTGTTGTTGGCTCACTAAGATTGGTGGCATGACATCACGTACATAGATACCAAAATAATTGTCTTGACTTCAAGTGCTCTAGCAATGTTGTGTGGGCACAGAATACACTAACACCTGTACTAGTATTGGCTATGAGGCAAACATGTGCACAGTAGTTGGTAACATGGAGATGCTGTCTGAGTACCACACTGTGTTGGGTGTCCACAGTTGGGTCTGGTTTGAACCGTCGGGAGCGAAGCCCCGCCCCCCATTTTGATCGTTCGGACAGTGTCACGCCCACCAATGAGCTCGTTGATGAGGAATCAGTTACACCTCGCTCAGTGAGTGCCTCCTCCCTCTCTCTCAACTCTCCCTCTCACCACTCTCTCTCTCCCTCTCTTGTATACAGAAAGAAGTGGTGAAGGATGCTGGAATAACACTAGCAGGTAATAATATGCCGTGTAGCAAAAACGTTTTCGAGGGACGGGTTTTTCATGAACTGTCTGCCTTACTTTAGCTGCTAGTCAGAAGTTGGAGGAGGAACTCTTATCGGCCAGACAGAGTGGTTCGGTCGAAGAAGACGGTCGCACCACCACTGGGTCAGAGAAACCAGCCCCTAATGGGGTGGCGGGCGGAGGAACCAAGACAGAGAAGAAGCCAGCGGTGGTAAAGGGGCAGGAAGAGGAGGGGAAGAAGAAGAAGAAAGAGGAATGCAGACAGAGTCTCCAAGAAGGGGACATGGTACAGACCCTAGACTCGTCTCTCAAGATGCGACGGACACACAGCTCTGAGAGTAAGAGAGAAAACCAGCTGGTTTTGAGAGAGTCTTACCTTCTCCCCCTCCACAGGTGAGGCCTCGGACGGTGCATGTAAAAAAGATACCACGTGGCAGCGAGCGCTACCTCCGCGCAGGAAAAAGGAGAAAGACGTGTTTAAATTCTTGAAGGAAGAGAATTCGTCCAACTACACAGTCAGGAGACAGGAGTTTCAGATATCTCGTGTCATGGAGAAATCTAGAATTGTCAGAGAGGTTAGTGTCACCCCGACCATTCGGTCTGTCACTGGCTCATGGTTGCATTCTCTCTCATTTGAACCAGAAAATAGAGGAGCTACTGGAGATAGAGTTATCAGAGGACATTGGAGAATGGGTGGCTGATGGCGTCGTGCTCTGCAAGCTCGTCAAAAAACTACACCCCCAATTAATGCCCTCCTTCCATTCACCCCCGCTGGGAAAAGTTAGCTAAACAATGTACAGTCGACCCCTCTACTAGTCCAGACCCGAATGGGACAGGAGATATTAAAGAGGGGAAAGAACGTGTCTTAATAGAGAGGTGTCCTTATTTTAGGGGTGTCCTTAGAGAGAGGGACCCACTTTAGAGCTATTAATTACAACGTGAATGTGAAATTTTGTTCATCTCCCAGGACTTGTCAAGGGGAAGGAAAACTGTGAACATTGCTAATTTCATCGCTGCCTGTCGTCAACTCCACGTGCCAGAAGAGGAGGTTAGATCTGCCCCTGTGTTTGGATCTCAGGATTAGTTCTCCCCTCCCTCTCTCCCTCTCTCAGCTCTGTTCCGCAGGTGACATCATCGAACTAAAAGACCCGGTGAGAGTCGTTACTTGTCTCCAGAGAGTGTTGGAATCAGCGAACATCATGGTGATGTCACCATGATCATGTGATCAATTATGACATCACTACCATGTTTTCACCATGACATTATTGCATATTTGCTGTGTATACAGGTTTTTTTACGTAAACAAATTTCATCAGCACATCACTTGGAATGTTGCTGTTTTTCTACTCTTTGCATTGTGGAATTCATCATTTCGGTTATTGTGTAGTTACAGTGACATACACATGAATTGAGAAGCACTACAGTGCAAATCCTCAGCGCACACGCACAGGTAATTGTGCATAGGTTATCCAAGTTTTAGTTTTACTCTTATGCTGGTTAAGTTGTGCTGCAGGACAGAAAACATCATTTTATTAACAAACAGGGAAACAGGGGATAATAATACTCTCCAAATGGGGTGACATCATCGTTGAAACCAACGGCACAGTGACACAGAGTATGCAATTACAAAAGTGAATAAATTATAATTCAGAAAAACTGTTGCCCAAGGCAAATGGGAGTGAGTGAGAAAGAGAGGAGGCGGACGGGAGGGAAACACTGAATGAGTGAATGTCTGGTGGAGTTGACTCTAATTATAGCACACTCTGTAATACTGCGACTGAGAGTAGGAGGGAGAGGAGGAGGACCAGCGAGGAGGGGGTGAGAGACGGGCAGCCTGCCGGAACGATAACGATGGGGGGCTCCTTTGTTGGCGAGGGGGAGGCAGAGATGACCGGGGAAGACGTCGCAGATGGTGTCGGTTGGACGGTACTCGATGGAGCTGTAGAGGAGAGAGGAAGAGGAGAGAAGAGTAAGGTCTGTGCAGAATGCTAGTACAGTTACACACATACGTAGTAAAGGAAACATTGAGGGAAAACAGAGGGATTCCGAAAAGTCTCTTCAAGGATTGTGTAAATATTTTCACTTTAATTGCGAAAGTTGACAGTAAGCTTCCAGGTGTGCATGATACTCACCAATGGTTGTAGTCGGGACGAAAGGATCTGCGAGGCATTCCTGGACCTGATCCACCACTGGTGTATCGCATTCCCCGGATCCAGAACCAAACCCAGACTCCCTGTCTAAGCCACACCCACTCCCACGGAGTCGAGAGTCTTCGCCGTCTGAGGTAATTGGAGGGTCCACCTCTGTTGAGACTGGCTTGAAGGTCTGAGAGGGACAGGGGAGTTGAATTCCCGCCATACAGATGATGATACACACTTACATTGTAGTTGCATCTCATTTCGTTGACTTGACAATCCTCATCATCCTCTGGACATGCCTCGCTGCTACTAATGATATTTATTTCCTGGGTAACCCTCTCCAGATAGGCTAGTTGAACTCTGACCCCTCCCGGGAGGATGGGGCACACAAACAATTCAGGGTTTTCTTGCTGCTCTGCGCGAGTGAAGTCAAAAACTTGTTTTTCGTACCTAGGGTAAAAAAAAGCATATACATGATGTGTTGCTGGTAAACAAATAGAAGCTGATTAAGGGGTGATGCCCTCACAACGATTTAGCCACCCGAGAAATGAACTTGCATCCTTGGAATAATAATTATTCAGTGATTGCTGCTTTAGACAATCTGGATTACTAGTCCATTTGTATACAGAATGTTGTGAAAATATTCACCATGTTACGTGAGTGGATAAAATGTCACATTTGAGTGTGGCACGACTGATACCTGTTGAGTGAGTCTCCATTCCAGCACGACTGGCTGTCCTGGGATTCAGACATGTCCTCGCATACTAAGTCCGGGACCGTCTTGAACAGCAGAGCCAGTTCCAGGTGACAGTAGGCGGAGCTATTGAAGACCTCGGAGGGTGGGGCAACCGTGGATCGGGTAAAGAGGGAGCGAGGGTAGAGAGGGTGGGTGTGGCTTCCAGCTGCCTCCCGACGACCTCTGTCGTTCAAACAGCTGACCAAAATCTGAGGTGCAACAAGATACACACCGCCGCAAGTGTTAACAATCAAAATTATGCGCCTCGAAAATCTGTTGCTATAAGAAATGGCATGCAATTGAGCTGGTAATGGTATTCACAACTGGAAAAAAGGGAATTGGATCAAAGACATCTTGACTTTGAAGGTCACCTGACACCCTCCCTACCCCACCCCTCTCCCTCTCCCCCCTCAATTCCTCTCTTCCTCTTCCTCCCCATCTCTTACCGACTCGTGGTGAGTCCGACTACTCTGTTGTATGTTGGTCGTCACGTCAAGGAACCCGGTAGTCAGCTGATCTACGTGAGTGAAAGGGTTGACTTCATAATTGAGGTACTCTTTCATCTGAATGGCAGCCTCTGTGAACCTGCGGTAAGGTTCGTAGAGGTCGGAGTAGTCCACCAGGCAGCCCCGCATCGTGTTCAGACAGAGGTCGAGGCAGGGTCTGGCACGAGATGGGAGTCCGCTGCACTGGGCGCAGTAACTGGATCGCAGTAGAGCTTGTCTGCACTGCGGCGTTAGCTCCAACTCTGCCACCGCCTTGAGGAAAGCCTCGGCTGTGTTCAACGCTCGGATGTAGTACATTGTCCGGTTGAAACTCCGCGTGAGGGCGATGAAACGTGCGTGCGTGTCTTCGGCAGTTACGCCGACATAATAGTTGTACATACAGACGTTGAAGTCGTGGTCGTTCAGAGGATAGACTGTGGTGTCGACTCCAGGATCAGCCTCGAGGACTGCCAGAAACACTTTGAAAAACAGTTTGTCGAATTCGACGGCAATTTCGCACGTGTTTGCTGTCCAGACGGCCTGTTGGAGATAGCCGTAGAACTCATCGAACAGTTCCGGCCGAGTGAAGAATCCAAAGTAAGCCTCTGTCAATATTTGAATCAACGAAACCTTGCTGTCTTCAATGAACATAGCCAGCGCCTCTGCAAGTATATGACTCAACTCAACCATGTACTATGTGTAGGGCATTATAAATGCATGTACTAGATTTATAGTGCGGCAGCACACTATTCAACCCTATACATATTAGGTTAATAGACACTGTATAAATCCCATACACACCCAGTTATAGGACACTTAGAGTACAGTATAATAGGAAATTTGAGCTACACCTCAACCAGCATTCATGTGACATGAAGCTCTTAGAAAACTTGGCAGCAACACCAGTAAACAAGGCACAGGAAATTGGTCACCTACACAGCACACACTCACCAACCGTGATCTCATATTTGCGGTCGACGCAAGAGAGAGAGAGATGCGGAAATATGAGTCATGGCAGGGGAACGTTCAAAACGGAAAACAAAGGTAGACATGTTTGTTTTAATGGCAAAGGGGGTGAATCTACGGCACATCTGGTCAAGAGTAGATCCCATAGCTAGACGACCAGTACACAATAACCCCCCACCACGACATGGCACCTTTGAAGCTTCCCAAATAAACGGCAGATGTATAATAATCTAAGCCATACACACCAACAGAAGACTTTTACCGACAGCCCCATGCTGTGACTGCAGGCTGTAACAGGCGAGTAAGTCTCGCAGGGGAATTGGCACGGCGGACTCAGGCAACTCTGAACGTAATGTAATGAGCCACAGTGGAAATATCGCAAGCAATTTGGAACGGTTTTTCGACACACCCAATGCCACAGCCATAGACCCCAGACTAAAGGAACACTCCCCATCCTGCATTTGATAAGCTTGGCTACTAGACCTCTGCTGTTGTTCACTTCGAGAGCTCTGCTGTTTTCCATTCTTAGAGCTCCGCTGTTGTTTGCTTCAACTCTGCAATGTTTGCTCTAGCTACCGCACATCCTGTGTCTTTTGCTGAAATTTCGCTTTGCTTGCTCCTAAAACACACACAATGCTCTTTTGCCAGTGTGTCCATTCACGCACAGGAGCCTGCATGGTGCAATGGGTCAGTCAAACAGCACTTCTCCAGCTGCTGTTGGAAATTCAATGTGTTCCCACTCACTACTTACCCGCTCACTAGGGCAGGTGTCTGAATGCGAGTGGATCATGCAAACCAACATTAATCAAAATTCCAACAGGTATTGAATTTTACCAACTGCATGGTGTACAAATTCCCACTGACGTGAAAACGGAAGTTGTATGGCGGAACTCTTCTAGTCCAAGGCAGTGTGAGGTGTCCTTAAATACCAGGCAAGAAGTGTTCTTGGAGAAAGAAAAAGTGTCCTCATTGGAGAGGTGTCCTCATTTCAGTGGTGGGGTTCCACTGTACCTTTGAGTGGGCATGCAACACATTCACTGCTGCAACTGGTATTGTGAGTGTGTAATTGAGGCATTTCGTGGCTGGCTGAGGTGGGTCTCTCTCTAAACTTGGACATGGTGGGTCACCATTTGGCCAGTGCCTCCTGGCAACTTCAACACAGGAATTCGTCTGAAAGGCCACCCAATGCTCCCACATTAGATCACTGGTGTTCAAATGGAACTATTCTTCCTATTCCTAAGCCTGCTACCCTCAGATGTGGTAGGCTAAAGTTCCTAACGTCATATCTTAGCAGAAGAGAGATTCATACATACTATGGAATTTGCTCGCATCACACTTCCCGTGAGGCAGTTTACTACTGGTGATCCACACACTGCACCACGGACAGATGGCCCAAGAGTATATAGAAACATTGACAAATGCCCAACAATAAGAAATCGATATGTTCAGTGATAGCTTAGGGAAGGTCCTTGAAGCATTTAGCTGTGTTTAACTCTATTCTCCTCTGCCAATGGTTAACAGATTTTGTCTAATGGAGCAAATGATTCGTGGCAGTTTCTAGTGTGTGCGTAGCAGCTGGAGTAGTAACACTGTGATTGCATGCTGCATCTTCCAAGCATGACTGTGAAATGGGGTGGTAGCAGGTTGGGTTTCTAGGAGAATGCTGCGCGGTGTTGTCTGGCCTGTCTTCTGCCTCTTCACCGCCATTGAACCAGAACTGGCCATGAACTAAAACACCTCTCCCTCCCTCCCATCCCCGTCTCGACAGTCCAGGGGGTACAACAGTAAAGGAAGAGCGAGACACAACAACTCTGCACTTCAAACAGTTGCTGACACACAAAGTTTACCCAAAAACCAACATTCATTGCTTTTTCAGACATCAATGGGCTGCCGCAGAAAAACCAACCCGACGCCTACGCTGTGCACCATGCTCTGCCTTGTTCACAGCTACACACACCCAATGAGGTGCATAATTGGCCAACGACAGAGAACACAATATACACTGTCTACAGTGAAACCTCTGAATATGGAAAACACCTTGGGGATGTGGAAAGTGTGCTTTATTCAAAGGCGCCCCTATTCTTTGGTAAAACCATAGATTGTTATTGTGCAGCAAGCATCCGTTTTAGAGTGTGTCTTTACTCAGAGAGACATTTTCAGTGCTACTGTGTATTCACAGTACCTTTGAATGTAGAGCTGTTGCAAGAACTAGCTCTCTGGTCCCAAATGTCAGCCACCGTCTCCCGCACTTCAGCCACTGCTGAGGTCGACAGGTTCTGCTCTGCCACTGAGCTACAGCAAGTCTTGGAGAGACGACATGCCCCACCACCATTGGCTGTTCATAGAGAGAGAGAGTGTGTGTGTGAGTGGGAGTGGGAGAAAAGGAGGGAGGGGGGAGAGAGAATAGGTAACAGTAGTATTCAATACAAAGGTGACATGTGATATGAAACAGGAGCCGCATGAACCACACACACTTACACACCTACTGCCATTCATTAAGCATCACTGGTCCCTGTACATCCACAAGGCCAGCCTGTTTATCATTACCAGCCCATTCTAGGCAACTACATATCAACCTTTCCCATACTTCCCCTGCGATAGGCATTCCACCTTCATTTGTACTGCAACTACTGGCTTTAATGGGATAATTTAGTTGGCAGTTAGACCGTTCTTTGATGTGGGGGGTAGGAGAGGCAGAGCGAATAATTCCCCGAGGGACTGCAAAATTAGCTACACACACAGCGTAGAGGTGTAAAGATATTCATTTGATGTGATTAAGATGAAAGACCACAAGTATGTGAACGCTGTGAGATAACTCGATGTAACACCACTGGTGAGCCCACTGACAAACACCTTATTCTCTATAATTATAGCATGCAGGGGACCTATATACCCGTATAAGGTTAGACCAAATTCCTGGTGGTAAGTGCACAAGTGTTAGTATGGTGTTAGCACCAGGGAGAAATCTTGCCTCTGCAGAGGATTCAGGCATTCCTGGACCTTGTTCTGGACCACATACTAGGCCACAGGTGTTCCTATTGTCTCTCGTTCTGCTGGTGCCAAAATCTTCTAACCTTTGCCATGCAGAATGGACTAGTTTTGGTGGTTGAGTTATCAGCAAAATGCATACTCCAAAATATTATGTACACCTGCCGGCTATCACCAAAGGCATCGTTAGTATCAGCATAATACAGCGGTGAACCGACCGCATGGTGCACCGCATTCGGACGACCTGCAGCTTGCGGTATAATGCATGCACGTCGCATGCAGCTAGCTAGCTAGCTAGGGAGGCAACCACCGGCAGCAAGACACGATGCTAGCGCGCCCTGGTCCATTGATCTTCTAAACACCTACAATAACCTAGCAAGTCTAGAAATCACACAGACGATCAGGCCCGCCGTGGTGAGGCGTTTATCCTTTCCGCACTCACCATCCCTCAGCCGTTTGTACACTGCGTCGTTGGCTTCATCAGTCGCTCCAACCAAGTCGTTGTAGGCTCCCCTCGCCGCATCACACTCCAGGGGTGTCGCCGTCGTGGGCTCCAGGTAACCGTCGCCGGAATTAGCTCCAGCCAGCGCAGCAAACGCCAGGAAAATGCAGGTGGTTAGAACCTTGTTTGCCATTTCTTCCCCGTGCTCTTGAACTAAACTTGCTGCGCTGCCGTCCGAAAAAACTTTGTGCAAGTTACCACAAACGGGCGGTAATTATACGCGCTCACCCCCAATTTAGTGGGCGTGGCCACGCAAATTTCGTTTGCCCCGCGCAGCTTTGGTTCGCTTTGTGTGACAATGACAACCGCGGCTAGACCGACGTTTGAGCCGGCGAGAGGCGGGCGAGGCAAGGGAGAGGGAGACCTCTCTGCTCTCTCTAAGCAGTACTCCAGTCGAGACCTTCCCTCGCACACCAAACTCAAATACAGGTGAGACACTCTATTTAGCGCCCATCCATTTCAAAACTCTGACATTTTTTGGTACCTACAGACAGACGGGGCAAGACTCTTTGGAAGAGGTGAAGACCAGAGATCTGCGCAGGGAGTTGGAGGAAAAGGAGAGAGATGTTCGTGTAAAGAGAGGCCGTGAAAAACCTAGGAGCTTTACTGGTGAGTTCAAAGGTTTGGTTTTGAGTGTTGGCAGGGAAACAGTTGATATTTGAGTATGAATTGTGTGGGAGGGAAAACAGTGTTTTGAGGAGAATAATGTACTGAGCTCCTATTATGACTGCCGGTAAACATCATGTCAACTAGTGTGTGTATACTGATGTCAAGGTCTGCTAAGTACACTGAGGTAGTAATGGATAACAAGGAGTGAAAGGGGGGAGGGAGAGAGGGAGGGGAGACGAATGAATGGTAAAATCCTGTGTGTGGTGTTTTTCGCCACATGCCTGCGTACTTTGTGGGAACGTGTATTTCCTGCTCTAGTTTCCCGACCATTGGCAAGGCACCCACACACACATACACACTGATTAATTCTCTCTCTATCTGTGAGACCTGTACATGAGGGGTGGGATCTGGAGTGGGTGGTCATGTTTCTGAACAAGAGTCCTGAAAGATGGTGGTTTGTTCCCTGGTACACATGGGGCTGGCCTATCCACTTATACACCTCAGTCAATGTCAGCCCTAGTCGGCAGTGGGGCGCCTCAGCTCTTTAGTTGAGGTCCACTGACCTTCTTTTGTCCTTCTGTGCGAGAAGCTTCTATTGCTGCCTCTTGCATGCAGTGAGTGCTTAGCCCAGCAATATGTCCTCATTCTGCCTTTCATGCCACCATACACTGAATCACAAGTTGTGAAATGCACATGCAATCAAGCTTCCTTTCACTGCCTTAGTCACACTGTTGGTAGTACCATTAGCTACAGTAGAGACTATTTTCAATGGGTGTATACGTTGGCAGGTACAGGCATAGTGTTGATGTACGGTGTATTTGTCTTTCGATGCCTCTCTTGTGGGTGCTGTGTTAGAGTGGGTGCTGCGTGTGTGACTCAACTACTTGTTTGTACTGAACTCTCTACAGAGTGTGTACTGGTGGAAACCTGACTTGTGAATAGCCATAACCTTAGAACGGCGGCTTAGTAAGTGAATTAACGTGATTTTGAACTGTTCCGACAACCTTGAGCTGTCGTACGTGTGTCAAAACAGTTCAAAATCATGTTTGTTTGTACTCCAGGCATGAGTGAGCACATGGTGTACACACCTGTACTCTGTTTCTACGTCCATCTCTCTCTCTCTCCCTCTCTCTCCTCCTCAGAGCTCCCACCAGCAGTAAATGTGACAACACCCAAGAAACCTCGTCTGGATCAGCCGCCAACTCAGTCAGGTGGGCAGGCCAGCTCCCACTGCCACTACTGCATGTCTCACAATGTCCCTCTCTTCCACAGCCAGCGTTGATGCTGATGATCCTGAGAATGAGGTAATCATTAATACCCCCAAACCCCTTCCCTGAAGTCAATCTTAGTGGTGGGGGGACATTTTCAGGAGGCCAAAAAGGTTTCTTACCCTTGACTGAAATTTTAGTTCTGGAGAGAAAAGTTCATCCGTTTAGCAAGGCATTGGTAATGGTATAGACTAAAAGAACAACCTTTTTCAGTGGTGGACAATAGACAACAGCATAATTGTGGTGAAGGGGGTACCACAGTAATGATCATGATGCAGTGAAGTGTGGTTAGGTAGTAGGTATTTTGATGTGACGATGATTTGGAGGAAGTATGAGCTAAACTTTTGTGGGTGTCATGGGCTACAACAGAACTCTGACAGGAGTGGAAATATCACGTCTGAACACCTGTCCTAGGTCCATATATTCCACCCACTCAACTACATGTTGTGATGCATGCACCATGTTGTGTCATAGGTGTTTGTGACCAGGGCTGCTATAAAAACAGCAGAGTATGTATGTATGTATATACATGTACATTGCTGAAATTCTTCACCCCTTGCCCATTATAGTGAACTTCCACTCACACTGTGTAATGTAGTACACATGTAGAGTGGACATTCTACTCACTTTTCGAATTTGTTAAGTGTTTTTTGGCGTCTCAAACGGAGAGCTTGACTCGTTCAGAATGCAAAAAGTTGTTTTCTAACTGTCGGTGTACCATTTTCAGTACCTTTGATGTTCAGTTAGTAAACCACGCGGTGGGGGTGTGGGCCTTAAGACTGAGGGCGAGGCTCGGTACTAAAGGAGGTATTTGGGAGAGTGAGTGGACTGGTTTGGGACTGCCAGACAGATGTGCATTCACTACAGCGTTTTCCCTTGCGTGGTGTGTCTGTTGGTCCCCATATTATACTCCCTGTAGGAAACTTTCTTTGGAGAAAACAATGTTCGTACCTAACATGCAATTTTATAGGCCTTGCCCACAAATGTTCTTCAACTTTCAGACCGCACAATTCATTAATGTTTTCTTCCTTATTAATTGTCCTGCTATAAGATACTGTCTGTATAGAGTTGTTGGCATGTGTGTGCTTTCTTTTCAGGACGAGGACGATGAAGAAGATGATAGGTGAGTGTTTCACGCGTGTCCTAATGAGAGGGATTTACCCACTCCTCTGTGCAGTGATGAGGACGACACTGCAGAACTGCTGAAAGAACTGCAGAAGATAAAACGGGAGCGAGCAGAGGAGGCAGCAAGGAGGGAGAGGGAGAGGAAGGAGGAGGAGGAGAGGATAAGAACTGAGAACCTCATGAGGGGAAACCCCCTCCTCAACCAGGAGAGGGGGACCTTCAAAGTGAAAAGAAGGTAAGGCATGAAAATCTTTCAGTTTGTTTTGAGAAAGTCCCGTGCATGATTTACTATCATAATAGGCTAGCACCTGCACAAAGTGGCTGTCTAGCTGGCAAGACCCCTAATTCAGTTTTGTCTGATTGTCTGTGTTGGATTTGTGTTGCTTCTTTGTAATATAGTTAGTGAGGTGGCAGATGGTCAGGGGATCATAATTATAATTATACTGTGCAGGTGTACCCTAATTACTACTTACTACAGAATGGTTTCCTTTCTAGAGTGTGATGTAGTTTCTAGTTTTTGGTAGTTGTAGTCTTACCCCTTCTTTTGGATATACCCTTTCTTTCCAGATGGGATGATGATGTCGTGTTCAAGAACTGTGCTAAAGCTGAGCCTAAAAAGGTATTGAACCCAGTGGCATAGATGTTTGTTAGAAAATTTCCCCTCTTTTGCAGGATAGAGGTTTCATCAATGACACGATTCGATCTGAATTCCATCGTAAATTCATGGACAAATACGTCAAGTAGTTTTGTGAATGACATCATCATCAGTGCACTATTCTTGCCTTTATCAGCTATCACAGTACGCATGCGCGCGTGTATGTAGCGGTCGCGCGCATGCTCGCTGGAGCTAGCTGTGTGTGACGACGCAGGGCCTAGGGATGGATCGGGCAGTCTAGTCGCGCACAGACGAACAAGAGTTGATGACTGATACAGCCCCGTGTTGCATGTGCTAGGGAGCAGGCATTAAGAGACTGCACTCGATGGCTCTGAGGCTGCGGCGACTGAAGAGAGAGGCGTGTGTCTCGCCGTCTCCAGCTGACAGCAGGCAGTGCGAGCTGGTGGGCTTTGGAGCCGTGTATCAACCTGACTACGTCCCTCCGCCCACACTGCTGGTATATACTGCACCGTGGTCTCCCTATGTACAAGTTAGTGTGGGTATGGGGTCCTTGGTTCCATATTGTAAGAAAGACAGACAAGAAACACATTGGTATATACTGTACGCATCTGTACAGTGCGATGATTATATATACATTGGTTTGAGAATGTTCAAATGTATGTGCCGCCTATAGATAAATTTCCACAAACAGTCGTTAGCCCATCCATAATCCACAACCGAGCAACGATATCCCTGCGAAAAATCCACGGTTTGATATTTCGCGCTACACGTGTGTTTGCGCATGCGTATAAAATTCGGGCGCCGTCGTCGAGCCCCGCCGTTTGATCGATGGGCGTGGTTCGGCATCGCTCGCGCGAGCTAAACGGAGCTCAGCTCTCTAGACGAGGGGTTTGCAAGGTTGGAGAAGAGGGTTAGTCGGTGCTAGTAGGGACGGGAGACAATGGCGGAAGCTGGAGCCGGTCAGCAGAGGGCGTTCGTCAAAAATCTGAACCGACAGACTGCGCAGCAGATCAGGGAGAGCGCGACGGTCACCGTCAAGGCAATGAGCGAGCAGGTAAGTAAGAACCGTAGCTAGGCTTTGCCGGTGGAGATTTCTGAGCACGAGTCAGGCTCAGATCCTAGCTGCCGGGATAGTTTGCAAGAAAGGGAGGGACGTGGTAGCTATGGTAGAAGGAACTGCAGATCTTCACGTGTAAGAATGCTCATGTATGCTGCTCACATTGTTTGGTGTGTGCTGCAGTACAAATACGTGCGGTTAGACTGTTCTGCAGAAGGCAGCTAGCTGGTTTGTTTCACCCCATACTATTGTGGGGCTCATTTCTCTCACTTCATTACGAACAGGGCTACAGCAAAGTGTTCTGGAGCATTGATAGGGACGGCCTCGGTGTTGGTCACGGGGATGTTTCTGGAATAAAGCCTTGCTGTGCTGCCCAGTAGATCTGCCATTGAGTTAACAAAACCCAGTCACAGTACAGTACAATGGACAGCATATGTCAGGAGATAGGGCACTGATAGGAACACAGACCTTAGAATATGTATGGGGAATGTTCTTTATGGCCTGAAATTCCCTAATAGAAAATAATTCCAAGAAAACAAAGATTGTTGTTAAGTGGTATCTGGCTGGGCATCAAGAGGTGGGTCAATTAGTCGGCCCCCAAGGCAGTTCACTGCATGCTGGTGGATGTGTCTGTAGGGTCTGTGTATGCATTCTCCAGTGGGCTTGGTATGATGATGATTTGCCTTATTGCATGCCTCGGTTTATTTCCTACCAAATGTGTGTGACTGTTGGTGTCTGCATTCAAGGTTTTGTGGATTCCAAGCGATTCTGAGTGTGATACCAAGCATTCCCCTCCCATCTCTCCTCCCATCTTCTTCTCTCCCTCCCTCTCTCTCCTCCCATCTTCGTCCTTCTCTCCTCTCCTGCCCTCACCATCCCTCTCCTCCATCTTCTCCCTCCCTCCTCTCTCTCCTCCCATCTTCTCCCTCCCTCCCTCTCTCTCCTCCCATCTTCTCCTCCTCTCTCTCTCTCCCTGCTCCCTCAGTCTCGTCCCAAGCTGAGAGTGGTAGAACCAATAGACTATGAAGCAGAGCTCAGTTCACGAAGGAAGGAACTCGGACGAGAGAAATATCTCGGACTAATGCTCTTCCCTCAACATGACGTGGAGGTCAGCACATTTACTGAACCGTGCTTCTCAACATGCTCCATGCAGTGGTCCATATTCTACGTACATATGCCCCATGAACATCCATACATAGGTTTTCTGCAGACATACAGTTTGCTACATAACGGTTGGGATAATGGATGCAGCATAATATATACACAACAAGGGGTATATATATACACAATACTTGGAATCGTGGATGTGTTCTGTAGTGGGCGTAAAAGGAGTTTGAGGTGTTTGCTTTTGCAGTCCTTACTTTCACTGTGAGCTTCAGGCCCAAAGCAAACACCTGCATAAGCAACACACAGTATAAACTTTGTTGGCGAAATCTTGAATATTACCAAAGATTGTCTGGTTACAGGTGATGCAAGAGGATTGGAAATATCGGACTGAGCAATGCACTGTCCCTTCTGGTGCTCTGGAAAAGACTGACAGACTCTTTACTGCCGAGGTAACGGAGAGAGAAGAGAGAGAGAGAAGAGAGAGGAGAGGGAGGAAGATTATTGCCGGTGCACATGCGCGCACACACACACACAGTGTCTCAAGTTCTTCCAGTCCAAGTGGCACATTGTCAACTTCAAGTTCAGCGAGTTTTCCGCGAGTTTTGGGAAGCTGCTCAGGTGACTGGCTCTGTGCCATACTGAAACAATAGACTTCACTCTCTCTCTCTCTCTCTCTGCTCATTTGCTCACCACAGTCCAGACTTCCATCAGAAAATGGTGTTGACCGATGCCGTTTGAGTTTGGCTACGTTGACGAGAGGCCCGTAGCAACCTGGTAAACAGAGTAGTAATCTACTAAGTATCTAGTAACTCTCTATAGCCAGGTCTGCTTGCCATCATACCCATACATTGGACTTGCCCCATGCAAACAGTTACACTGTGCGTCTATTGTTTGCTGTTGCTGTTCTCTACTTGTAATGTACAGATGAACCAAGCCAGCAGTGGAGCTCCACTAACGAAGAGGCGCTACCTCAGTAAAGGTCCATTCCCTTCAGACGGAGGAATCTCAGTCTCCATGAAAACCTATCGCAAGAGGTACGCAGCACTCACTGGAGACCCAAATGCTGGGGGATACTTCCTCAATATCTACAAGGTGAGAGGGGAGAGGGGGACAGAGGGTGTGTGTCTAATGGAGTAATGTCCGCAGGATGAGAAAGGTACAAATCTGAAGGGAAGGATTGCACTGGACACTTGTACTGAAGTCAAGACTGTGAGCATCTCTCAACACCTTCTTCTCTTCTTCTTCTTTATCTCCCTCTCCTCCTTAGTGCTAAGCCATCCACGTGTCACTGCACTTTGCCACACTTTTATAATGTGTCACATATTATTGTCTGTAACAAACAGAAGTGGCTCTGGACGTGCTGTAGTAAGATGAAGCACAATATTATACATACTTGTCTGTACTCTAGAATTCTCGCCACAAGACTCATGGATTCGACATCCTGACAGACGATGAGAAGGTGTTCTACCCACTGGCAGGAGACAGCGATGCTGAGGTCGAGGAGTGGGCAGAGATCATCAAGAAAGCCATCGCTGGGGAAGAAGTGGAAGAGAGTGACGGACCAAGTAAGAAATAACTTCAGACACTTTTCGTACTTTTACCGAGCAGAAGTAAAATTGACTTCTCTCTCTCTCTCATTCTGTCTCCAGTGGCTCCCATGACGTCCTACTATCCCAGGAGACTCTCCGAGATCTCAAGAAAACTGAGATTAAACCTGAACACCTCCAGGTATGTAGTGTAGCACAACTGGAAATGGTAGCTCTATCTTGTTCAAATCTTTGGTCCTTGTCTCGCTTTACTTTCGCTGCATCTTTCTCTCTAGCTGTGTATCTGTTGTTCTCTTTGACAGGTGTCAAAATTCTCTCCTGGGAGTCTGGTTGAAGAGAGGAACAAAGTCAGATATCCTCTGTTCCAAGTCTACCCTGAGTTGCTGGTCAGTTAGCCTCCACCTTCTCTTCTCTCTCCCTCCACCTAGTCCTCTCTTTCTTCTTCTTCCTAACCTCTTCCTCTCTCTCTCTCTCTCCTATTCAGAGGTCCCAGACCAGAGAGCCCAGGTCAAGAGTGCTGCCTCCAGAGGAGAAGTTTGGTCTCAGATTTGTCGTAAAACTCAAGGATTTCCAGTTCAAACTGTCGGCAGAGAGTGACGGACAAAACAAAGCAAAACATGTACACAATCACTTGCTGAGTAGAGGGGAGGGGGTTAAAGTTAGACTGGGGTATCAGGTTTTCAAAAAATTAAGACATGTACTTGCCTCCTCTTTAAAACCCTGCATAAACTCTTACTCTATCGCTGTTTTTCTATTTCTCTTCCAGTTGGAGCCTTTCTTCCTGACGCTGGCTCTATTTGATGCCCAGCAGGGAGTGAAGCTATCGGAGGATTTCCACGTCGACGTGAACTCTGACCCCCTCCGAGAGATGCTGCCCCTCCCACCAAACACCATGGATACGGGGCCACACCCACTCTCCAAATACCTCAACTCCACAGTGGAAGTAAGCCTGGGGACTTTCACTAAAATATTTGTAATTATGCACTAAAATTTTTGCCTCTGGCAACAGCAGTGGGCAAATTTACACAAGTACTGTATCTACCGTCCGTTTCATATCTCTTCCGTAATATTTTTGCGTATATATCTTGCAACATTTTGATATCTCTCTCCCTATGATCTGTACATGTGTCTGCAGGCGGTGTTTTCTGTAACTCAGCCTCATGAGGAGGTGTATCTTGTGGCCAGGATTGAAAAGGTCAGTTCTCCACCGGAACTTTAGTAGTGTCCAATAGAGAAGGGGTTGCCATGGAATTGCCACGTGTTGACTTGCCTATACACCACCTCTCAGGTGCTGCAGGGAGGCATCACGACGTGTGCAGAGCCCTACATGAAGCTGGGAGATGCTGTCAAGTCAACGCAGAGGATTCTGCAGCAAGTTCCCCTCCTGTGCAGTCGACTGGGGACCTACCACATGGCTTTTGCCTGGGCAGCTCGGTCAGACATTCCTACTATATTTAGACTCTCTATTAGCTACGTAACCTACCACATGCCTTTTGCCTGGGCAGCTTGGTCAGACATTCCTACTATATTTAGACTCTCTATTAGCTATGTAACCTACCACATGCCTTTTGCCTGGGCAGCTCGGTCAGACATTCCTACTATATTTAGACTCTCTGTTAGTTATGTAACCTACCACATGCCTTTTGCCTGGGCAGCTCGGTCAGACATTCCTATAGTGTATTAAGACTCCCTATTAGCTACAAATGGAGTGGTCAATCACTTTAAAACTTTCTACAAATCATTTAAAAGGTGTCTAGCTTCTAAAAGCCAAGGATTCATATGCAGATTGGTTAAATATATAATGCAGCAAATAAACTTAACATCTCACAAAATTTGAGCTCTTTGCATCGTGTCTGTGTCTCCAGCCCGGTGTTCCAGTCAGGAGGCAACAAGTTGGACCTGACGGCCGAATTCACTGCTCTCTACAAACAGGAGAGAGAGAGACTCAGCAACGAAGAGCTCCTCAAGATCCTCTCTGACTTCAAGAAGTGAGTCTGAGGCACACCAGAGAGCCTGTTGATGTGTTGTTGTCTGCTGCCAGTATCCACAAGGCCAAGCTGCAGACCATTCCTGGTAGTCTGGTGGTGGACGTAGTGCCTCAGCCTCCACAGAGCAAGACTGGTGAGCTGCACTGACTTCCCCTCATCGCTCATAACTTTGTCTTCCCCTATCTCACCCCAAACTGTCTTCTATTCCCCCTACATCTTGCTCTTGGTCCAGTCGGTTTGGTTAACCATGCTCTCTCTTCTTCCAAACTAACAGAAGTCGACATCTCTCATTTCTCCATCCCTCCAGCCACCCTCACCAGTTCCCTGCTGCCAGTCCGCAGTCGAGGAAGAGGAGGAGGAGCTGACAGAGATGACACAGACACTCTCTCACGAGTCTCCCCCTCCTGCCCCCCGTGTCTGGAGGTCCAGGAATTCCTCGGGGGGTTTCACGCCCCCCGCATCGACCCCCATCTCTCCCTTACCCACCATCTCTACGTCTACCCTGTAACTCTCAAATATGACTCCCAAAAGGCCTTTGCAAAGGTAAAATCATGAAGCTTGTAATGGAGTTTGGGGATGTTGCATTGTTAGGCAAATACCACTCAGCTAATTGAGATTTTGATCTTTCGTTCGTTGTTTTTTCTTCATTGCAAATCGCAATGAGAGAGTTCAATGTACAGAGGTTTTCGACCGCACTTAACATTATGATTTTTGTACAAATCTTTCCCCCGCAGGCCCGGAACATATCGTGCTGGGTCCAGTTCAAGAGCAGTGATGTCAAAGGAGCCAAAGCCCTGCCTGTCATATACAGCTCTGCTCCAGGAACAGTGTTCTGTGATGGACTCCACACTACCGTCCTTCACCACTGTACCTCACCCACCTTCTATACCGAGGTTTGATGACGTCATTATGACGTAATCCACTGGGATTGTGTGTATGCTCGTTTCAGGTGAAGCTGAGTCTGCCGATAGCTCTGTCTCCATCACATCATCTCCTCTTCACCTTCTACCACATCTCCTGTGACATCGCCAAGACAACCAAGGCCAAATCCTCCATAAGACAACCTCCCCCTGAGACAATCGGTGAGCATGTGATTTTTACATCCCCCAAAAATGAAAAATTTGTTTGGTTTTTCGTTTTCTTGAGCAGTTGGGTATGCTTGGCTTCCTCTGGTTGATGAACAAGGAAGGTAAGGCCATTCTCCATTAACTTTCTACCGACGAATAGCCACGCTCGGTCGCTCAGCCAACGCGCTCCCACGTCTATCCCCCCTCTACACACTCTCTCTCCCCCCTCTCTCTCTCTCTCTCTCTCTCCCACTCTCTCAGACTGCTAGAGGACACACATTCTCTGCCAGTAGCTGCCAACCTACCACCAAACTACCTTCAATTCACTTCCTCAAAAGTATGCAATTACTCTATTACCACAGTGGGGAACTAGAAAATTTTAGTGGATTTGTTTTAGTTTGAGACTGCCCGTGAAAATTTGGAATGTTTTCTGTTTCTTCCTTTAAAAATTTGCTGTTCTCTGCAGGCTGCAGTACCAGATGTGAAGTGGGTGGACGGGCACAGACCAATATTCAGAGTGGACACTAGACTCCAGTCACCTATATACACTCAGGTATATAGTATGTGTATATATGCCTGATTGGCACACTGTTAATATTGTACACCATCCCCATCCCCCCAGGATTCCAGCCTACATGAGTTCTTTTCTCTCTGTGAGCAGCTGAAACATAAGAGTGGGCAGCTCCAACCTGCCGTCCACACTGCACTTGAGGTCTCTCTCTCCCTCCTCTCTCCCTCCTCTCTCCCTCCTCTCTCACTAGTTAACCCAGTCACTCAGATTGCCTTCTCCCCCCAGAGGCTTGCTGGTGTAGATCTCCACGTGATTCTGCAGTTCCTCCCCATTCTTCTGACTCAGCTCTTTCACCTCCTCTCCAATTCATCAAAAGACTTGGAGACACTCAAGGCCGAGGTGGTCAGGTGAGCTCATATGATCATCACGTGACTGTCACGTGATCTCGGGGCCACGCCCCCTAGAACTCTTGTGGAGGTGGTGGACAAAGTGGTGGAGGCTGGCAGAAGTGATTTGCTCAAATCCTACATCGAGGTATCTACAGTAATTGTACGACCAAGATAAAATGTTTAGATGAAAACCGTACAAATAGATCCCTGCCCTGAAAATTTGAATCTTCATTTCTTCTCTCTCCCTGTGTGTTAGCACATCTTTGTGACGAGGTGGACGTCTCCAAGACCAGTGCAGTCCACGATGACCTGGCAAGACTCATGGTCCTCCACTTCAGACAAGGTCTCAACAAGAGTGAGAAACTTCTGCAGGTACATCCAAATCAGGAAATAGTGGGGAACTACTAATAGTGCCTTTCCTCTTCTCCCTCCCCCCTCCCCTCCCCTCTCTCTCAGCACGTGTGGTTCTTCCTCGAGATCATGTTGAAAAGCATGGCACAGTACCTCGGCATAGCCAACAAGATGCAGGTACACAACTAAACAATCGTATGCTCACTTATCACATTTAGGATGTATGCAGCATAAACATAATATTGATATTATGAACGATTGGTCTTTTACATGTACTCAGAGTTCTCGGAAGAGCCGATATCCGGAGAATTTTGGGTGGAATCTTCGCAACCTTGTGGCCATTCTGTTGGAGTACGTCCGTCAGAAACACCACAACCAAGCAGCCAAGGTAGCGTGCGTCTCGCTCGCCCTGTCTGCCACGTGGGTGGCGAGTTACTCGTTTTCTATTCCCCTGCCGAAGGCTAACAGAAGTCTGGCCAAGTTATCAAGGTCGGTAATATCGCACATTCACTTCTGCAGTATGGTGTCAGTTGTATGATTGCTGCATCTCTCTCTCTCTGCATGGCTAGCATCCTTAACTGCAGGACAGGGGAGTGGGGTTCAAACTGGGCCTACTCACATGAGTCATTCCGCTACAGAGAACGCCCAGCAGGGTATGTATTGCACGTAATAAGAGAGCCATGTCGGTGATGTGTGGTTGTCTTTCTGACGTCTCGGTCGGATTTGAAACTGGAGTTTTACACAGATAATCTGCGAACACGAGCACTTCACTACCTCTCAACACCTCCCCTCCCGTCTCGGTGAGCGGCGCGAACCACCTCAGCATCTAGCTCTCATATGAACCGCCCTTAGTCTCTGTTCTTCCGACATCTTTCTGCTACTTTCCATCCCTCTCGCCCATCAGCTGCAGAGAGGAAGAGTGCTCAGTGTCAGACGAATACATCGGCAAGCATTTCCCTGATGGGCGGCGACGCGGGAGGAGGGGAGAGTGCATACAGCAGTACGAGCCGGGCCCGTCGGAAACGGACCAGCATGGCTCATCAGAGACTAGCTGGGCCAAACATGACTGCGACGCACGATACAGGATCCTGTGAGTTTAATGGGACTGTGAGGAGAGTCCAAGTGTCAACAAAGACGGTTAAAAACAGTGCCACAGTAATGAACTCACCCAGGAAACACTTTCCGAGAGCTGCCTGGAGGGGTTCAGAAAACCCAAGACACTCTGCATTCTGCCTGTGTGTGGCCGGCAAGAACGCACCATACCAGG